AAAAAAGCCAGCTTTTTTAAATACAAATCAAAATAGAACTATTGAAAAAAATTAAACAGTACTTCCACATGTGGATCCTATTGAATAAAAGCTTTGGGTGAAGCTAACAACCGCGACGTAAAACAATGTCGTGAGTGCACAATTGTCCGACCCGGCAACTTTGGATACTCGGGCATGGTTAGTATTTCAGCTCCCGACCTCAAGAGCAAGGGTGCTGTTGCGCGATCAGGTAGTGTGCTAGTTTTTGCACCGCAAGAACGAACGCTTCCCGATAGGGAGCTTATTTTCTATTGTGACAACACACCCGATTTTCAATAGGGAGATTGATACATTCTGCCCCAGGAATCACTTCAGAGCGCATTCGATCTTTTAGGTCGTATTTTACGTGCCTCTATCGGATATCTCATCGTTTTTACCTGCAAACATGCTCACAAAAATCCGATTCTTGAGAAATAATGATTAAAATTGAGTTTTCCTCAACAGATTTATTCTAGCTGACGACCGTTTGACCCTATTCATCACTCATGGCGGCTCCGGAAGCATGTTGGAGGCCGCTACTCATGGGAAACCTCTGATTGCTGTCCCTCTATTTGGTGATCAAACCAGAAATGCAAGAATCATCAAGAAATTTGGTTTCGGTAATTTTCAAGCGATCCAGTCTATGATTATTTTTATGATCATCTTTCCTTTCAGGCATTCATTTGACCAAGGCGTCTCTGCATGACAGCAGCGTACTCCGAAATGCGATTGGGGCAGTACTCAATGATACGAAGTGAGAGGAAATTGAATATTTTGTTTTGCAAAGCTGCTCTTTTTGATCAGTGGATCAAAAATCAAGGCTAGATATCCGTCATAGTATTTTACAGGTACACAAAGGCAGCTCGTCGGATACGCGATATTTTGGCAAAACGGCCATTCTCACCGGAAGAAAAGCTGATAAAAACAATAGATTTAGCAGCTGAGTTTGGGCACATTCCCGAATTGCTTGTTTCAGGACGAAAT